TCACGCCTTTAGACCAGCTCGCGGGTCGACAGTGTTTCCCGCTTTTATCGAACGGCGCTGCTTATGTGCGCTACTTTGAAACGCAGCTACTAACCCCTATGCCAGTGTTTCCTAACCTTTCCAATACTGCTACCCCTGTAACCTATTAGGAAAAAAGATTTCACCCCGACTTTAAAACGTTATCATCAGTCCAAGAAATTACAATTTGGCCGCTACATCTTCGTCTCTAATAATGTCATCATCAGGAGAAAATCTCACCCCGCTTCCCACACTCAGCACCCCGCGGGCTCGCTAGCAAAAAGGAGCGCATGCTCCATTTAGTAGTATTATTATATAGTATTTTCTTATTATTGAGATTTGACCAGGTTCTTCGTCATCCCTGAACTATGGCCGATGTACCCCCGGAGGGGTGATCACCCCCAGGTTCGGAACCCAGGCCCTATGCAAAACCCGGAACGATAAAACGAGTGTATGTTTTAACGCGTCGACAGGCGCGCCGCACGCTAGCAGCGGCGGGAGCGGCGGCGGCGCGGTCACTGTGTTGGCTGGGCAGCGCGCGGGTGGCGGCGGGGCACGACGACGGCGCCCTGTTCGTGTGGCACGTGCGGCGCGCGGCGCTGCTGGCGCGGCTCGCGGCGCACGAGGGCGCGCTCTACGCAATCGCCGCGCCCGCGCGGGCCGCGCTGCTGCTCACCGCCTGCACTGAAGGCGTTCTGAAGGTCTTCGATTTAGTTGGTAATTCAAGTCAGTCATTTTAAAATCGAGACTGCACTCTGTAAACAAACAACTAGGCTAATTATTAATTTGTCTTTTTATATAAGTTCTCCTATATTGTAGAATTGTTTTGGTTAAGTTGTATTGTAATTATCTCGTTCCGGTTGGCCGAGGGCCTGGTGATCTGTAATACAGGTATTTCTATACCCATGTCGGACACCAGCTTCTCACAGCCTTTTTTTTTTTTTGTCGATGGGAAATGCATTTACGCTCCGTACCGAGCGCTGGCTGGGCGTGCGGCGTGTGTGGGACTGCGCGGCACAACGCCGGTCCTACCCACTAAAACCCACCGATACCCTCCTACGCCCATGTGGGAGCGTTTCAGGATCGGCACCTGTGTGCGCCACTTCACTGGAACGCTCCCGGGCCGGCCCGGTCCAACGAGTGGACCGGGCGATACGCCTCTGGGGGATTGCGCTAGGGTACTAGGCAATCCCCAGACGGGGTGGCCTATGCCAAATGGCACTTTAGCGATCACGTCGGGGTCACCACTTTAGCGATCGTAGGTTTCAGTAAATTAAACTCTTTGATAGTCAGTTAAGGAATGTCCTTTATTCGAAAAAGCATCGTATATATACATAATTTTACATAAATTAATTGGCAATAAATTGGGTAGGTACATAATAATTATTATGAGTGATGTGCGAGCGGGAGAGGTAGGTTTGCGCCTTTCGCTCGCACCCGGCGCGAGGAATGCGGCGCGCGGGGAAGCGTGCGCGTCGCTCAACAAAACCGCCGTCCGCGGCGGCACTCGTCCATTTCGTCGGGCGACACCTACGGTGCAGACGTGTGGAGTCCTCTTCGATGCACGGCGAGCGGGCGGCGTGCCGCGTGCCGCTGCGGTGATCGTGAAGCTGTAGTGATAGCCGAGAGTGAAGCGTTGTTTCGCACGAAAGCTCTTTTCAGAGCTATGTAGCCAAATAATCTGTGTTTCGCACGAAAGCTCTTTTCAGAGCTATGTAATCAAAGAATTATTCAGCATCACTATTTCCTGGACGGTGTTTCGTCATTTGAATAAAGGATTAACTTCTGTGTTGTGTTATTATTGTGTGCTGCTACAGCACCAAGGGCACGCGGCGGCCAAGCCGCGCCTAGACCACCTTAGGGCCGACGAAGACTGGCATTCACGGCTGCCTGCCTTCTTCGGCCCACCCGTCTACGTCGGAGGGGAGCGGCTAGAGCGTCCTCCTCCCGCTCCCTCTCCGCGGCCTCCTTCTGCGTCATCACCGATTCGCAGAAGGAGGCGGCAGCCTTCCAGGCCCGCTCGCTACCAAGCATGGCTCTAACCATGCTTGGCAACGAGAGGTCTCTACCGCCGAGCGCCGCAACCAGAGTACGGCGCTCGTTTCGCCAGGCCGGGCGCACGATTAGCGTGTGCTCGGCCGTGTCGTCGGGAGAGGCGCAGTGATGACACCGCATCGACTCCTCCCGACGGGCGACACGGTGCAGGTAGTCACCGAAGCACCCATGTCCGGTCAGTACCTGCACCAGGCGGTAGCTAAGGCTACCCCGCTGGCGCTCTACCCACTTCTCCAACACCGGACGGATCGCCTCGATCGTCCGGTGGCCAGCGGCTGGGTTGGCGAGTGCCTCGCCCCATCGGCACAGAGCCTCCCTCTGCGCCTCGGTGCGGACCCGTTCTACCTCCTCCAGAACGGGCCGCTCGCCACGCATTCTCGCCGCGGCCCTGTGTTGATGCACCTGGGACAGAATCAGGGCATCAACTTCCCACGGGAGCGTACCTGCGAGGACGCAGGCAGCCCCGTGACTGACCGTGCGGTAAGCCCGCACGGCCCGGGCCGCGATGACCCTCTGCGGTCTGCGCAGGAGGGCCCTCGTGCGGGACGATAGGCACTCCGCCCATACCGGGGCTCCGTATAGCGTCATCGACTTTATCACCCCGTGGTAAAGCCGACGGCACGACGCCTTCGGCCCCCCCACATTAGGGAGGAGCCGACCGAGTCCGGCTGCGGCGGCGCACAGCCGGGGAGCGAGGAGCCTAAAATGCTCCTCGAAACTCCATCGGGGATCCAAGATCAGGCCGAGATACTTAATATGTATATACTCGTCTTCTCGAGGGCCACTTCCAGCCCCAGGAGGCGGATGCGTCGGACGACCATGGAGGTGCCGACCGACGCAAGGCGGACCGCCCCCTCCCAGTCCTTCGCTTTCGCCGCGACAATCCGTGGCAAGAGCTCACCGCGCAGGACCCAGTTGTACTCCAGGTTCCATAGTAGAGGGCCTAGTACGGAACCCTGGGGTACACTTGCCGCTACTGGCCACGACTGGTCGCGGCCCCCCTCATCCTCGTACAGGACGGTCCTGTCTCTCAGGTAGTCCTGGACGAGGGCGCGCAGGTAGAGGGGCACTCGGTGGAATTCGAGCGCCACCTTTATGCACTCGTGGGGGATGGTGTTGAATGCGTTCGCGATGTCCAAGGACACCGCGACAACCACCTCCCCCCGTGCTGTGGCCACCTCAGTCCACCTTTTGAGGTGACCCACCGCGTCCATCGTGGACCGGCCGGTGCGGAAGCCGTACTGGCAGTTAGCCAGGTCCGGCCCCTCGCCCTCAATGTGCTCGATGGTCCGGGAGGCCAGAATCTTCTCAAAAGCCTTCCCGGTCTCATCAAGCAACACCACCGGCCGATAGCCCGCTGGAGAGACCGCCGGGCGGCCCTCATTACGGAGCAGACAGAGCCGCCCCACTCTCCAGCGCCTGGGAAAGCGACCCGTCGCGATGCACACATCCAGCACCGCGCGGAATCGCTCCCCCAGGGGGCCCAAGGCGATGGCCATCACCTTGGATGGGGCCCCGTCAGGCCCCGGAGCCTTGTTACGGCTCCGGAGCCGGCCTTACCATGTCGACCTCTGCATCCGACACGGGGGGACCTGCGGCCCACGCCTCCGGAAGCTTCTCACAGCCTATAAATTTATCATTTTTGTATTCACCTATTACAATAGCATCATGTGAGGAGAAATAAATAAATATATTATTATATTATTATTATTACTTATCGATTATAACGTTAACACAATTTCAACGATCGCAGACCCCACACCCCCACTCCTGCGCCTTCGAGCTTTAAGTATTGAAAATCACGTTATTGTTGTGTCAGAGGTATGTCGGTGTGGGGAGGGCCAGCAGCCGGCTCCGCTGGAGTGGGTGGACGGTGCGCACGACCTCGGCGCGATGGCGGCCGACGCCACGCCCGACGGGCGACACGCCGCCACCGGCGGGCACGACGCCAGGATCAGGATCTGGCGGGTGCATATGGCAGGTACATAGCAGATACTCTTCTCCGATGCCACGTTTCGGAAATGAGGAAGTTGACATAGCTTTTGTTCATAGAGGGGATTACAAACATAATAAATGTAGTGTATATTCTTAAAAAAATGTATTAAAGGACATCGACGAAATCGGCCCTAGCATGCCCAAAAGAATGTCCTTCACTATTATTTTTTTTAACTTATTAGTAATTAATCAGAGTAAACGGACAATCTGTTCAAAAAAATAAAAGTTCTGTTACTAGATCATCCTAACTTGTCCTAGTGGTAAACAATCTTGGCACTCCTTTTTAATGTAAATACAACATTAACATTTCATTTGAAAAGAAATCTATTATTACGACAGGTAGGTATAGGTATATCATAGGTGCCAACTGCCACTCATAAATCAATATGAATATAAGCATTTATTATTTTTATTAATATCTTTATTTTATGTTCATTTAATGCATATTATATAAGTGCTTACATAGATGTAAACACTAAATCGTTTCAGAATATATAAAGTGTACATCTTTTACGATTAATTATACTAATCATAACCTCAAAATCTAATACATTCTGTAGTAGGCCACGGTTCCTCAAGTTGACCGTATCTCAACAAATGCTTAATCAGAGTTTATGAATGATTCCAAGCACAACTAGCATTATATCATTGCTGTTCGCTCTAGGGCATTCAATGTATGGGGAACGAGCAATGTCCTTTACTTGTTACTTCTGATTACTAAAGTTGGACTCTTCATAGGGTAACCGAGACCAACACTTACATTTTGTGCTGCAACATCTGACATCGAATTTTAAAATTAGGAAATAAGCAGGCATGGTGTATTCGATACCACGTGGGTGGACATAATATACATGCGAGCTGAGAGTTAGAAATAAATACAACGTCTTTGATTATTTAATGAAAAACATTCGTATTGCCCGTTTGGAATGCCAATGTCCCAGAGGACGGTCGTCGCGGCGTGCAGGCGGCGGGCACGCTGGAAGGGCACTCGGACTCGGTGACGTCGCTGCGCTGGGCGGGCGCGGTGCTGGCGTCGAGCGCGCTGGACCGCACCGCGCGCCTGTGGCTGCCTCGCGCCGGCGCCTGCCTGCACGTGCTGCACGCGCACGCGCGCTACCTCACCTGCATAGCGCTGGCAGCAGACCTACGATACATGGTCACCGGTGGGATTTCTAATATTCTTGGCTGGACATGACAGATAGCGTAAAGATATTTACTTACTGCAAACATGAGACTATCGAAGGCACATGATGATCGTTCGATCTAATAGCGCTGATCTCCTTTTTCATATGTTTCGGGTGGTGGGATGATGGAATTATTATTCTGGTAGCAACGTTTGTTTCACTAACGAGAATAGTACAGTTGTAAATTACAATAAATATAGGCCCCAGGATTGAACCTTGAGTAATCCCTTGTGGCCGCACTGCTAGGGTAACTCTGTGATTTTCCTAATTTCACTAGTTGTTCACGAATAACTATAATATCACCTTTTAATCAGTATAGGCTGTTACAAGTTCTCGAAGACTAGAAGGTGGACCATCGTTTCTCGAACTGAACACATCATAAAGTATTGACCGACCATTATTTCAGGTTCTAATGACAAAACAGTGCGCATGTGGTCGCTGGGGGCGCTCACTGTAGACGGCGAGCTGGAACCACCCTGCGACCCTTACGCTCACTTCGCTCTCGGCGACTTAGAGGTGGGTTCTGCGAGAGAATCTTTACTCATGCATAAGTTGAAGGTACCGGTATTTTCTAAAACCGTATAATTGCAAATAGATTTAAAATTACATTATTCAGAACTTTATTATTTCTTATCAAATAACAAAGTTGATATAAAAATTATTCATTGCGGCCCGATTTATATCATGTGGTTGACAGTCACGGAGCAAAATACAAGGAGATTTGGAATAGGGGCTTACTCTAAGAAATCAATCGAAGCCACTAAAAGGGGTGCATTACATTCGGGCCGGTAACAGCGCCATTATCGACAGTAGGCTCGAGTAGGGAACCTAAGAGCAATCTGCTCGTAAGCGTAACTGACGTATCTTTATCATGTGATTTTTAATTACCTAGATAGCAGTAGTGTCAATGTAAGCACGAATTTATCAGCAGATAAATAAATAATAATATATCATTCAGAGATATTTTTTTAAATTCGTTACTACCTATCTATGGCACAAGATATAGAGTCGTCTGATATGGGTGGTTCTACTCGCAAGGGAATTTTCCGCGGCTCACCTTATTTTGTATAGTTTTTGTAGGAAAATTATATTGATTAACGATCGAAACCGTAGAACTAAATGGTTTCTAGTATGACACTAAAAATTAGCTCATCCCTTAATATAATATCTTCCAAAAATCGTACTTTAAAGTGCCAAATTCTCAGTCTCCAGGCATGTCTCTCGGACGAAATGAAAGCTTAAAGGCTGCATCATAACTTTATTTTGAGTATATGTACGGTATATCTGCACTAAAATAGAAATCTATAATATATGTAATTTCAATCTGTTTGTCGAATTTCACCGTAAATGCGAAACTTATTAAAAAAAAAGTGCATTATATTTTGTCTCTCGGTTTTTACCTCAGTCTCCTGCTACATCAAAACACGTTAAAATCTGTTTGAATTACCGCGTCTAGCGCGTTGCTGTCCGGTCTGAATGAAAGATCGAAGTGAAGTTAGCTAACAACCACTCGCGTCCGTCTTGGCTCGCAGTTGGCTTAGTCGCTACGGCAAGTTGTGTGAGTGAGGTTGTGCTACGGCCAGTCAACTTAACAGTAACCTGGTACGTATTTATTTAAAATCCATTGTTTTCTGCATACTTTTTTTGCATTCATAGGTCGTAAATTCGTTACATTAGAGTACAGAATTGCATAATTTCAATATTAATGTTGCATTAACGTAGTTATTGGCTAAAAACATAAAATAATCTCAGTATCCTGTCCTCAGTCTCCTGGAAACATAATAGCCAGGAGACTGAGGATGAATCAGGAGACTGAGAGTCATTAAGGATCCGCACGAATAGTAATCCAGTTCATCATGATTGATATATTAATTATTAGTACATTTACGTATTATTTGATTAGTTACATATTATTGATCATAGTTATCATAAATTAATAAGCTGGGAATTACCTGAAGCAAAAACTCCGATTTATATATATAATAAAACTTCATTATTTATTGATTAAAAACAATATTTTTTTCTACATTTTCATCTGAAATTAAATAAGTACATTTTTAGATAGAAAATGTAAAATATGTGTAGGCAATGTAAAAAACCGTATATACATTTCATTATATTCTTTTACAGAAAAATGGCAAAATGGCAAAACCAAAAAATATTACTAAGGAAGAAAGATTAGAGAAAAAAAGGATAGCTGAAAGGCTTAGATATCAAAAAATTAAAAATGATCCTACTAAATTAGCGGCTCAAAAAGAAAAAAGTCGGCAAAAATATTTAACTAGAAAAGAAAAGGGCCAAAGAAAATTAGTATCAAATATGTCGGATCGTGAAAAACGTCAAGCCCGCAAAAAATGGAGAAACTATTCCAAAACTCATTATGATAAAAAAACTGCTCTGGAAAAGGCGGCAAGAAAGTTTGTAAGAGAAAACACGCCATCTAGTTGCGATGAAAATGTAAACTCAAATCAGCAGCAGCAAGTCGTAAATGCACAAAATGTGACACCTAGATTAGCACAGGCACGAAAAAGAGCGTTGAGGCAGCGTAAGAAGCGTAACCAAGAACTTCAAAAAAAGAATGATTTTATACGTTCACTAAAAACCAAGTTACAGAAGTATAGAAAAAGATACCACAGGCTGAAGAGAGAACGAAAAGAACAGCTCCCACAGGAACTAACGCCTTGTACCAAGATGAAAAAATTAGCTGAAAACCCAGACACACGAGTCGAAGTTGTTAAAAAAGCTTTGTTTGGTGACACTTTAGAAAAGCAATTATCAGAAAACATTACCAACTTGAGCACAAAGAGTGAGAAACGAGTTGCAAACAAATTGCTTATGGGACGTGTAGTTAAAAAAAGTAAAATTTGGAAATTAAAAAACAAACTCATCACGTACAAAAAGGTGTGGCACTCACAAAAACAAAACAAATTAAACGAAAAAACAAGAAAAACCTTCAAGAATGAGGTACAAAAATTTCTAGAAGATGATCAATACAGCAGATTGTGTGCCGGCAAAAAAGAATTCATCACTAAAAATAAAGTGAGAAAACAGAAACGCTATCAACTCGATACTCTCAGAAACTTGCATAAAGAGTTTTTAAAGTCTGGCAACGTTCTCATCAGTTACTCAATGTTTGCTAGGTTGAGGCCTTTCTGGATAGTGGCTCCAAAAGTAATTGACCGAGATACTTGCATGTGTACTCTACACAGCAACATACAATTAGTTGTCAGTGCTCTAAACACTGCAAAACTTCTGAAAGACACAAGCTACCAAAGTTTATTAACTTCTTTATGCTGCGACAGATATAATGAAAGGTGTTTAGAGAGAATTTGTGAATTATGCTCTGATAAAGCCATTTCATTTAGCGAAGACTTTGACGACACAAAACTGGTTACCTACCAACAGTGGGTTTCTTCAAAAGAAATGATTGTGGACCCTAAGACAAAAAGAGAACGACCTGTAACCAAACAAAAGAAAGAAAATATTGAAACATCAGCTCGAGACCTTAAAGTTAAACTGGAGAACGATTTGGTTAAACTTTTCAAACATGAATTGAATATTGTTCACCAGTATCAATCACTAAAAATGATAAAGCAATCTCTAACTGAAAAGGACGTTGTAGTCCACATGGACTTTTCGGAAAATTACTGCACAAAATATAATGAAGAAATTCAGTCTTTCCATTTTGGGGGCTCCCGGACACAACTCTCGCTTCATACAGTTGTTGTATATTTAAAAGAGTCGACTAGATCATACTGCACAGTGTCTACAAACTTGTCTCATAACGTGAACGCCATCTGGGCCCACCTTAAGCCGGTTTTAGAAGAGTTGCCAGAAAAAGTTGAAAATATACACTTTTTAAGTGATGGGCCTGTCACCCAATACAGAAATAAATATATGTTTTACGTTTTGGCCTGCAAAATTCCAGATTTGTGCCCTGGAATCATAAACTGGACCTGGAATTACACCGAAGCAGGTCATGGAAAAGGAGCACCTGACGGTGTTGGAGCGGTTTGTAAAAGAACAGCAGACAATATAGTGGCCTATGGAGGTAATATAACTAACCTCAACGAGTTTTGTGGAGCTATTCAAACCAGATGCCCCAATATAACACTGTTTGTTGTTAATGATAGTGATATAGATGACATGTCGCGATTGATTTCAGAAGATCAACGAAGTTTGATTCCTTTTACTGGCACATTAAAAGTCCACCAAGTGCAAGGAAATGCTTATTTACCTAAAAGGCTCATAATGAAGTCTCTTAGTTGTTTCTGCGATAATAACGGATGTGAACATTACCGACTGGGTTTACTAAAATACAGCTCAGAATCAAGGAATAGGGTCGATGCTGTCTATGGAAATTTAGACTCGGAACGAACTGAAGCTGATAGTCCCACTACCAGCATTATGGGACGTAGACCTTTTACCGAATCAGGTCGGGTGCAGTCTGGCATATCAGAATTAGATAACCTAAGCACTATGAGTAATCTCTCTCTCAATTTGGAGAATCCGGAAATATTAGCCGATATGCCAGACTTAGAAATTGACCCTACTGATCTCTTCCCAAATGAGACCATTGCTAGTCCAACAAAAGCCGAAAATTCTAAAAAGTTCGTTGATTCCCTAGATGAATCAAAAAAGGGCACACAAAAAAGCAAAATAAATACAGACAAAGACTCTTCACAAGCTGATAAAACAAATAAGATAAAGAAAATTACAACTAAGAAAAAACTCAAAAACAAACCAAACAAAACAGCCGAAAAAGACAAGAAAAAAAAATCGAAAGCTGGAAAAGCGAAGAGGGCAAATGACAAAGAATCGGATGATTGTTGTTGCCTTATCTGTGGTACTTTATATAGTGAAGATACCACGGGAAACGATTGGGTCCAGTGTATTTTATGTCGTCAGTGGGCACAAATTGGTTGCATCAAAAGTGACTCTATCTCATTTACATGTCCAGATTGCTCGTCGGACTCTGACTACAAAGAATACTGTCTTTAGACTGAAGATTGAGATGTTTTTCTTTTTAAAAGGATTGATTTTTGTTTACTTAAATACTAAAAATTTGATTTGAATGTTGCCATTTTGTAATAGTTTAGAAAACTTGTTATTTTTCATAATTTTATGCAAAGTTCCTAATCTTATAATGATGAGACTGATTAAGTAGTACTTTTAAGTTTTAGATTTTTGAGTTTTTAACTCTGTAGTTGATGTTAATGAATAGTGAGATTACTGTTAAGTTACAAATAATGAAACTATTGAAGACTGATGTAACCTTAAAGGTTTTGTAATAAATGTAAGTTGATTTAATTTTCAATAATTATTTTACAAACTTTGACAATGTTTGTTGTGTAAAAAATACAAAAAAAAACTATTTGATTCATTTTTAAAATTCTCTAATTTTGTAATAAGGATACTAATTTGTGTCATTTTGTGATTACTTGTGAGTCAAGGTCTTACAATAAAAGTGTTCCATGGAAGACACTATTGTTATGCCAGTATTATAATAAACTATTTTTATTAATAAAACATAATTTTATTTCAATATTTACAACGGTTTTGAGTTTTTTTTGTATCAATACTCAGTATCCTGTTCATAGCCTCAGTCTCCTGGGCCCATATTTTTTTTAAATGGTCATAAATTTGGTATATTTAATTTTTTTGACTGGCCCGTTTGAGATCAGTAAAATAACGACCTAAGCTAGACGTCAAGCTACTTTTCTGACCTTAGATGCTAAAAAAATGTTGTGCCATAAATCACTTCATTTTCGTCCCTCCTGAGTAGAACCACCCATATCAGTGCCTCTGGTGCAGAGCGGCTAAAATTATTAACCAGTGACGTCAATGCAACATTGTTACTAGCTGAGCTACATAGCTTCTCTTTGTATTTGCTCCGTGTTGGAAGACAATATTTGAAATTAACCCTTTAAATATTTTGATAGTTTAATTAATTCAGGGTATCGGCCCAGTAGATGAAGATGGCTTGGATGACGCAGCGATAGGTACGGACAGCCTGGAGGAAGGTGGCCCCCAGCGAGTGTGGCGGTACGAGGCGCACGCTGCTCCCATCAACTGCATCGCCGTGCACGACGACTTGATAGCTACTGCATCCAGGTGGATCTTTTGAAACGTTTTGTATAACAATGCTTGTGGTTTAAATATTATTCTTCTGTATATATAAAAGGCAACCGTTACTGACTGTCTATGAACGCACTCCTGACGGATTGTACTGAAGTTTGGCACACATATACATACCTATTATGATGTAGGCGTGCGCTAAGAAAGCATTTTCCAAAACTCACCTCCTAAAGGGGTAAAACGGGCGTTCAACGTTTGTATGGGAAAATAAAATTTCCAGGTAGATGAAGTAGGCTTGTTGAAAATATATCGATGTTTTTTGTTCGATATATTGATATTTTTAGCCAATATATTTTGATTCGATATATCGATACATCGATACAAAATAACCAATATCCAAATTCGTATCAAAATCGATATTTTTTTAAATATTAGCGGCATATCACGATCCAACTTAATTCGTATCTGGAAAAATCGTAACTGGATCTCAGATGGATAAAGATATTCAACTTATCTATGATCTGTGCTGTATTTAGTACAGTCTATGATTTGTAAATCTGTTTCGCTAGTGAATTGGTCGTGCTGAATTCCATTATATTCTGTGGAAATGTGCGATTGTCTAGTCTTGTTTACGAAAGATGGCACCTGAGAGGTCCTGCAATCATTTTCATCATTCGAAAATAGGGTCTTTTTTAGGTAGATAATTTTCGTTCCATTATTATTCCACGTGTCATCTTTCGTGAGATGCTGTACTGTCATGTAGTGTAACGGCAATTTGGTACTTTGATAATTCTTTCTTTAATTATAATTTGTATTGTTATTATTACTGTGCTAGGCGGATCTAAATATATTTTTGGGAAAATTGGTCCGATGTATCGATATATCGATGTTTTTTTCGCGATATATAGAAGCCGATATTGATATTTTTTTAAATATCGATGTATCGATATATCGATATTTTTTTCTGCTTTCGACATCCCTAAGATGAAGTCGTCGTTGGTTCACGCTTAATAATGCTCGCATTCTAATACATGACGGAGATATGGTTTTGTTTCCGTTCTTATGATAAAACTAAAAAAACACCCCGGATTCGCACGACAGTCGCTAATTCATGGTTTTTTAACAGTTGCACAGGCACTGCTTATTCAATTCTCTCTGCATATGATTTAGATAGACTTGGGACCATATTTTTGATTATTTGTACACCTTGAGAGCAATCCAATTAAAATAAGGCAAAGCAAACGTCTCTTGTTTCGCCAATGTATGCATGACTCTAATGTCAGATTGCACTAAAACAATCAATGAGTCGTGTGTAGCGACGAGCATATCAACCAAGTGTAGTAGATATATTTTTTTTGCTGCTTCCGTGCATTAATATGGGTGCATTAATATCTAGGTTGTATATAATAATAAAGTTATTTATTTTCACTCCAAATTACAAGTGTTCCCTCGAAACAATCAGTGGATAATGATAAGAGATAAGTCTCTGACAAAATCTTCTGTATCCTAAAATCAGTGTCTAGTATTCTGTATGTGGAACATGTGCAGCGATGGACTGGTGAAGATATTCCGCTGGATTGAGACACTGGAAACAGCATCGTTGGAGCACTCCCTGGAGGCGCACGAGTACCCGGCGCTCGCGTGCGACTTCGGCGCTGGTGGGGCCGTGCTACTAAGCGCGGGGCTTGATGGCTGCGCGCGGCTATGGGATGTTAAGGTACGGAGGAAGTATTTAAATTCCCTTTCCAAGTCGAAATAACATGTTAGGGGCATCGAACTCATAATAACTTAGGTACGAGTATATTGAGTTTAAATATTTTCTTAAAACTCACAGATAGATTTTTCTATCCATTCCATAGCGGTTGCGTGGCTAATCCTAACGCGGCGCCACTGCTACATTCTCAATCTGGACACGAGGGAACTTGTTCCTTAGTATGCGTGTCGGGTGATTGGTACAGGACTAAAGTCTTTGGTTTTTGTGTTTATTTCGCATAACCCTGAACGAACGCAATGAGTGGCAAGGAGTCCTCACATATCCTTGTTGCAACACCTTCTGGGGAAGTAGTAAGAATCTGGTTTCAAAAGTCTGCTGCTGCCGGTAGGTTATCATTTTGCCAATTTTAGGTATTTATTTCCTTATAGCAATTAATTATGGAGTATTTTTTATCGCTATTCTAAAGACGTCACGGCTACTCGGTCCATCTTTATTACTTTCTCGTGTATTTTAAATATGAAGCGATGATTTAAAATGTCAGAAATCATAGATTTTAAATTAGTTTATTGCTTATGGAGTGTAGGGGTGACCCCCTACATAATGATATTAGGATAAAGGAAGAAAGACAACTAATCTTGTTGAATGCGTGACGAGCATTTTATTTATTAAGCAGAGTTATATTTTTATATACCTAGCACAATGATGTATTATGATGCATTTCTTAGATACATCAACGTGATTAAAGTAGGTTATGCTTGCTCTGCAGATATACAAGATAACTGTACGTGACTCGTACATGGAGTTTTACGTCGTACCACATTTCGTATTTTTTTTTAAATTCCCCTCTTTTGTATTCGGAGCTGTTGTTTTTTATTTATGGTTTAGCTTGTGAAAGCACATCCGTTTCTCTAGTCATATGGTAAAAGTAGAGTAAAATCGCGCCTAACTAATTTTCCTAGAAAATATCTGGAAAAAAAAATCACCAAATTAACAGACTTTTTCGTACCTATCACTATAAGCACTATTAAGGTATAAGATTCAATTGATTTTTTTAGTACAGCCTTATCCAATACCAAAGTAAGTTTTTTATATATATTTATTTTTCGAAAGACCAACAGCTATTAATAAAAACTTAAATAACAACAGAAAGCCAATTCAGAAATAATAATTACAAAAAAAAAGCATTGTACAATTGCCCTTTCGTCGCAAAATGAACTGCTCAATAAAACTATTACCTGCACGCAAGAGATACGAATTATGTCTTAAAGTTTGAGGTTGCCTGTGGGACGCATATAAGGGAATTAAATCTAAGTTGTTTTTTGTAGCCCTAAGGGAAATCCTAGACGGTAGTGCTGGGCAGTCGATAGCACCAGAAGCTATTTTTATTAAAAATACTAAATCTGCAATTTGGCAGCGTATTTGCAGTGGTAACAAGTGGTGTTTCTTACAAAAACATAAATATTGGTTTGAACCATAGTGCTCTTTGGTGCGAAAACAGAGATATTTGATGATTTTTTTCTGAATGTTTTCAATTCGCGTTATATAAGAAAGATATAGAGGGTTCCAGACCTGGGACGCATACTCCAGATGGCTTCGAACAAATGAACAATATAAAATCTTTCATGTTTTTGCATCTTTGGAACTTTACTCTCTGATCTCATATAGATAATGATATTATCTATATGAGCGTCAAATAAGAGCTTATTGTCATGAAGGACACCAAGGTTCTTTGCGACAGTATCACGTCGCAATGTTGAGCCTCTTAATTTATTTATACTATTAAATTTTGTTTCCGACTATAAGTGATAACAATACACTTTGACGGATTAAGATCTACATGGTTCTCAACACAATAAATTTCAAGTCTGTTAAGGTCCTCCTGCAACGAAACAGCGCTGTAGTCGGTGTTCCGGTTACTTATTATTTAAAAAAATGGATGCGTGTAATTTATGTACGCGCGTGAGAAGTTATACTTCTTTAGCATCATTAAAAATATTTTTAATTGCATGCAAATAATTAATAATTACAATAAAATAATAAAAGGACTGGAAAAGGATAGTTCAAAGTACCTTTCGAACAGATGTCTCAGACACTAACATTCATAACGCGCCCGCGGCCAACTTCATGGTGTTACTATTGTGTTACAGTGATGCGCGCGCATCTCGAAATTTCACTCACATGATTTTTTCATAACGCGCCCGCGGCCAACTTCATGCTGTTACTTTTGGGTACAGTGATGCGCGCGCATCTAAAAATTTCACTCTCATCATTTTTTCATAACGCGCCTAAAGAAGTATAACTTCAAAAAATTAAAAAGATAATTGATTAAGATTATTATAACGATCAGTCTGGTTGCCTGCTGCGCTCGCTGTCGGTTCCGACGCGCGGCGGTGGCGGCGGGGACGTGGGCGGCGGGGGCGGGCGGGGGAGGGGGAGGGGGAGGGGGAGGGGGAGGGGGAGGGGGAGGGGGAGGGGGAGGGGGAGTGCGCGGCGCGCGGGTGTCGGCGCACCGGCCGGCGCTGCTGCTGCTGGCGACCGACGACGGACTCGCGCCGCTGTGGAGCCTCGCCGGCGCCGACCCGCTGCCGGCCTAGTGAGTATATTTGTGTTCAAATGCGAGAGGTAGTAAACAGAAGACTAGAACTCAGTACGCCGCACCGGGGGAACCACTCGACCGCATCTGATATACACTGCGGAACATTGAACTAACTTAACATGACGTCACATAACGTGACTCGTAACATGACATCACATAACGTGACTCGTGACATGACGTCACATGACGTGACTCGTAACATGACGTCACATAACGTGACTCGTGACGTGATATATATTATATTTTTTTAAGTATGTCACTGTTAGATATTTAAATCTAAAGAAAATTTTGATGACACTTTTTTGTGGATGCAACCGGTTTTTCATCGATTTATACGTTATCATGTCAAAAACTAATGCGTAGTATATGAGTTGAAGATTATAATATGTTTGGCAGCCTGTACGCGTCCCACACGGAGGCGGCGACGTGTTGCGCGTGGTCGAGCGACGGGCGCGTGCTGGCCGCGGGCGCGGGCGGCGACCTCGTGCTGCGCGCGCCCCCGCCCCGACCCAGGGACCTGCACACGCAACAGAACGCGCATGAAGAGGGTACAGATCGCCTAATCCAAAACTAAACGCCACCAACACTTTTCTGGTACTTTTATGAGTAATCGAAGCGTGCTACCGCGTTTGTCTAGCCAGTGACTGAATCAACCGAATGACCGATGACTATAGCTAATTAGAGTGCGATGCATCTGTACACTGATTGTGCATGTAACAGTAAGACAATGGAGGGGCGTTCGATTTCAGCTTAGACGATTCTTTATTTACTTATCTCAAACTGTAATAAAACTTTTATTCTGGAAATTCCAGAACAATACACGATATATACAACTTTATCAAAGACTTTACTAAAATCAACTCACATGACCGAATCTGTAGTTTAGTATTCTCTCATGCTGGCTTTTTACATGACCATTCATTCGAATTTACTACAAAATTGACAACAACCTTTTATTTCATTTATAGCATGATAAACTTGATAGCAGTTTAACCTCTGTGAAATTTACAAATAGCAAATACCAATTGCCGAAGTACTAGACATTACAACAAACATGCACGCTAGATACAAAAAATTTTACTCGCGCCGCTGTCCACCCTGACCCAATCCTCTACCCCGTGGAGCCATGGAAACTTATTCACCGACAGCAACACAACACCACCAAAAGTTCATGTTATTTTTCTGTCTTCTGTAAGGTGAAGGTAACTTCCCCAGACGGGTGCTTCGGGACGGGAATCTTCTATGCCTTACCTCTCTTTAAATGACAAATGAGTGTACCACATTATACTGCGACTTACTGAAATTTTTAGTATGTTTGTGATTATACTTCCCCCAGGAGTGCAGAGTTGTGATTTCGCACCTTGTGGCAGCGTGGAGATGCCAGAAGGATCATACTTAATCGCTACCGCTGGTTCTGATTCACTGCTCAAGTTATGGATAGTCGAACTCGATGAGGTTAGTTGTACGCTGAGCAAACAATTTCAGAATTTCTTATAAATAAGTAACTCCAATTCATAATCTGAAATTTTAAGACATTTTTGTTTGATATGATTTTATTGTTAGTGGAGCCGAATTTAAGTATACATTATCGAAGAGCTTTACAAAGAGTACAGGTGCGTGATTGTGATATTTTTCTCTTTTCGCCGTCTGTCTCATTTAGTCGAGAATAATATATGCATATTAGATATGAAATATATATGACAAGCTTGCCACTTTAAGGACCACTTGTAGCAAATTTGCTAAATCTTAGTTTAACTAAAACTAAATTAAGTCCCTAAAAAACGTCAGAAAGTCAATGTCAATTTGTCATTTTTCTATGGGATATCTAGGCCTTACTAAAACTTGCTTTATCCCATAGAAAATGTCAATGTCCATTGTATGGGCTAAATTTAGTTTTAATTGAATTAAGATTCAGAAAAATATGCAAGTGGACAGAATAAGCCACTTCAGGGTCTACCACGTAACTTTATTCTTCTTCTTCCTAGTATTGCACTCTTCATAGAGTGGTCGCGGTCATGTCTCGGTCGATTCCTGTACCACTGATGTAATCTCGATGTTTTGCAAAGCGAGAGCGATCATTTACGCTGGAGTGAGTTGCCGATTTGAGGTCTGTCCGCCGTGTCGGAGAGCGACCTCGAGACCTTTCGCCCTCAACTTTCCCAACCGTTCCACTGAGATCTTATTACGAGAAATTTGAGGATTCCTATTTGCTCAATCGACGATAATCTCTCTTAGATGTCGATTTACCTCAGGATCGAAACGTTGGGACGGGGCGCGGTCTCCAAAACCACATCTTCGGAGCGTCAATTTTGCTACGGTCTTAAGTTCCGAGCGTCGGTGTCATAAAGAAAGGTCGGAAAAACCAAGAATCTCATCGGTCGAGCCTTGCGTTCGCGGTTATCTTCCGAAAACGTTTAAACTATATCTATTACTTAGTTTGAAATGGCAAAATTTACTAAAGTTAATTCATATGTATATAGTCACGCGGGGGACCCTTCGGTCGTATTTAACGTTTCTAGCTCGGTAGTAAAAAAAATATAATATAATAAAACAGGAGGCGATAGAAGCACGCGTTAGGCTCGCTTGCGCCGTGCTGGCGCACGGTGGCGGCGCTTCGTGCGTGCGGTGGGGCGCGGGCGGGGGCGGGGGCGGCCTGCTAGCGTCCGCGGGCGGCGACCAGTGGGCGCGCGTGTGGCGCGCTGAGGCCGGCGCCGGCGGGTGGGAGCTGCGGCCCCTCGCTGCGGTGCCGGCGGGGGGCGCCGGCGGGGGCGGGGGCGCGGTGGGCCTCCTGCCGGGCTCGCTGGCCGTGGGCTCGCTCACCGGGGAGCTGGCACTGTGGCGGCTCCCGGACGGAGACCGCGCTCCGGACGCCGAGGACGACGAGTTGCCGCAGTTCTGGGACGAGGAGGGAGTGGCGCGCTGGCTGCGCGAGTATATCGTGCGGGTGCCAGGTATGTTATGTGTGGATTGATTTGAAAAAGGAGTGTTCCGCGAAAGGCAGCGGCATCGCTGTGTCCCTGGCGTTATGAATGTTCATGGGCGATGGTACCCGCTTAACATCAGGTGGCCCGATCGCGCGTTTGCCTTCGGATGCGATGAATATCGCGGGTGAAAGGTTTACCAGGAGCGGTGAAGGTACAATTTTTTTTTTTTATTTTTTTTTTTTTTTTTTTTTTTTTTTTTTTTTTTTTTTTTTTTTATTTTATTTTATTATTGAGAATCCCTAGTAGACAAATTTATGTGCCTGTGTCAGGAACTCTCGCTCTTCCATAACTTTTCCAAACTTAATACCATATTGGTTACAAATAGATAACGATTTTTTACATTTTGTATGTTTAGTCTAAAGTGTTCAATATATCTGTTATGTTTGTGTGTGTGTGTGCGTGTGTGTGTTTGATTATTACAAGTTTTGAAGCAAGTTTTCAGTATCATTGTAGTTCTTAGTTTTTAACCAAGTAAGTACATTTTTTTTACAATCATACATATTTAGATTAGATATACCTACCTTTTTATTTACTTCGTTGTAAATTTTACAACTCTGTATATCAAATTGCCGCCCAGCAAAGGCTGTGTTATGCTGAGAGATTTTTATGCATTTTCTTCTTCTTTGAGTTATCTTAGGTTCATATGGCAAGTATTTATGGCGTTTTAAGATTGCAATCAATATATAAAGTTGACGCACAGTCGGTAAATTGGCTATTTCATAAAGTTCATTTGTCGAAAATCTGTAAGGTTTAAAATACATTACTTTTAGCAAACACCGTTGACCTCTTTCTACTTCTATAAACTTAGTCTTTGCAGCACCTCCCCATATCGAGATGCAGTATGTCAAAACAGACTGAGCTAGTGAGACATATATTCTATTTAGAAGATGACGTGTTGCTATATGAAAATGAAAATTGATGCTGGCCTTTATATAGGTATAGTTCTTTCGTTAATAGTACTAAGTTCGGATATTTACTTTGTTCTAAAATCTTATGGTTAGTTTTTATACAACACCTTCGAAGGAGCACGAGCACCACCGAGAGCTCATGTGACTCCATTTCTCGACTGTTCTCACTCACTGAAAATGGAGGCACGGAGTAAACTTCACCTTGCCAGCCTACTATTTGGGATCATTTCATCTGGTAAGCCGATTTACTCGTGTAACAAACTCACATGGGCTGAAGATCATAGCATATAGCCTAGACGAGTGTGTAAGCCAATTTTCAAAATGCCTGCACATCACACAAGAGCCTTTCGCGGATCTTTTAAGTTCGCGGCCACAAGGTGCTGGAACGACCTTCCATCTCCGTTTCGCGATTTGAAAACCAACAGCACGTTTAAAAAGAGCCTTAAAAAGTTTTATTTTGATCTACAAGTCAAGAGTAGTAACAATACGTAACTTACCACCTGATTTATCACGCCTTGTAAAGCTTTAGGTTTGAAGTATTGTCACACTTGTGGCTGCAATAGATTTAGCACTGGCGTCGATGTCGTATGACGGGACATTGTTGGATACCTCCGAATATTTTTTACACCTAATGCATGTTTTTGGTTTCTTGTCTCTCAAACGATCTTTACTTGTCGTGGCAAAATGATGTTCCGTCGTACGTGGCACTATGTGGCGTGGTAAATTTAAACGCGTTTTTGTTATGCAAGTGATACGTGGCAAAATAGACAGGTTAACTTCTTAGCATTCATCAATTGTCAGTGTCAATGTCAGGGCCGCTGGGGCTGCGTTCAGTTATTACACTCTGTGCGCGGCTGTCGCTGTGTGGGCGCGTGGATAGCACTTGCGGCTTTAATATTTATTTAATATAATTTATTATCTCTAATTATTTATCTCACTTTATGTATACTATTATATTTATATGTATTTTAGTTATCTCTAGCAATTTCGTACAGGCCCTGCCAGAATACCAGCACTGTTATGGTGGGAATATTCCATTCCTACTATAACAGCATTAAGCTGAGGCAGGGTCCCGATTGGCCTTTTCTCCCTCCATATTGTTGCTCACTGTTGTTATTTTATTTTTGTTGCTATGTTTATTGTTTTTTTCCCTACTTGTGTAAGGTCAATGAAAGCTTTTTTTCTTTCTTTCAAAGGCTCTACTTTTTCTTTCCTTACTTATAAGTGGTAACCATTTTTTTATACTTAATGTGATAAAAATGTTCAAAGGTGTACCCGGTGCTCTGGGGCCCGAAGTGGAAGTGAAGTTAATAAAACGCGCGCGCGATGAAGGCGTGATGGGGTCGCGACTACTCGACGACCCTGTTGAAGAGCTGCTTTCTGTATTCGGATACGGTAAGTAGATGAAAAAATATAAAAAGATATTTTTTAAAGTATCAAAAAGTGTGGAGGAAGGAAAATATTTAAAAAAGGTACGCTTTAAAAACATTAGCTAGATGCATTATATTTTTTTTTATAGCTCTGTATGTTCTTTCCGGTTGACTGGTAGAGAATGCCATATTGGCATTAAGTCCGCCATTTGCAGTGTAAAGGCAATAAAGATTAAATAAAAAAAAAATAAAAAAAAATATACTACTTAAAAAAGTAGTATATTTTTTTTTATTTTATTTTATTGTTAAAAAACAATAGTACTAAATACTATTTTGCAGCATTCTAGATTTATTAGTAGTATTTTATAAATATTTTCAGGTGATGATGAGATGGAAGAGGAAGTGGCAACAGAGATACGAACACGCCTCGTCGAAGAACTGCATTGGTTGCGACAACCGCCGCCACCTGCGCGACTGGTGAGAAATTATTTTTATTTATTGTTAAAACCAATTATGAGAGCTAAGCAATACTGTGGCAGCTAAATCAAGTGGCCATCTCTTTCTTGGTGATAATAACGCTAACGGTAATTTGAATAATTTTGTTTATTTATTTGAAAATCTGAGGTTCAATCATAGGTCTATAGCATAGAAAGCGTTTAGTGCATTCGCCTAGAGCTTTTCTTATGACATTTTCTTTGAAATAACTTCGGTCGTAAAAGTACGCCACCGGTTGATAAATAATAAAGAACCGGCTAGAAATTCAGTAAAGGCTGTTTTTTTATCACTGTGCTAAAGATCTCTTATTGTCACTATGCAGATAATCTCGTCATAGCTCAATGTCACTGATCTTTTTCATTCTATTCCATTCCCACTATGCTACCGATCTCTTATTCATACAATTCTACTGATAATTTTAATATCGCTATGTCGTTCATTTCTACTTGGCACTATGCCACCGATATCTTCCTTCCGCCATGCCATTAAATTATTTTAACACTATGCCACCGGTCAGGGCATGGCGTGTGTCAGCAAGCATCGTGCCGCACACAGGACCTCTTTATAATTATTTATTATTTTTCCATTATGCTATCGACCTCCGTTTTCAGGATGCCCTACCTCTCTTTTATTTCTCACTAGTCGGGGCCCGCGACTTAGTAAACGTTGAAAAATTGGTGTCCTATACAAAATTTTCACCCCTTTTAAGGATTAATTCTGTATCATAAACTATCCTAGGGTCTCTCGTCTCTCCCGGGATATAAACAATCTCTTTACCAAATTTTCATTTCGAAATCGGTTCAGCAGTTCAAGCGCGAAGAGGACATGCACACTTTTGCATTTATAATATTAATATAGAAAGAGAGAAAGAAAATACATCTATTTTGACACAAACAACGAGACGGTAGATACAAGAATTTGAGAACAAAAAAATATAAGAAAAAGAAAAATTATGGTAAACAATAGGAAGACAACACAAAAAAGTAACACACACTAATAACTAATAATAACCGTCGTCACCGCGGTGATTTATTCTGGCGCTACTCGTATCTCGCGGCTGCGCCAAAACAGGTCGTCAATTCAGCATGTTATACCAGCAACCAAACAACACAATACGTAAACTCACAGAAAGAATATCGATATGAGTATACTATATGTGATCGGCGTGGTGGTGCCCCAGGCGTGGAGCGCACCGCACGGGTTGCTGTGCCCCGTGTCGCACCGCGTGGTGGAGGGCGCGGGGTGCGCGCGCGCCTCCGACGGGCGCACGTACGCGCGCGCCGCGCTGCGCGAGCTCACGCTGGCGGCTGGCGGCCCCGCGCGCCCGCTGCGGAGCGCTCGCGTAGCGCCCAACTACCGCCACAGCGAAGTCCTGCGCGTTTATCTACGCGATCATGCCGACAGTTCTGATATCTAATTATAATTTTTTTTCGTGTCCTTCCGCTTCCGAGGGAACGCAATGGAGGTATGCGGGACTCCTCCCTGCTCGTTTCGGCAGCCCCTGAGCTGGATGGAATAAACACCCCCCTCCCCTAATGCCCAAAACAGGTGGTCCCCTTAAAACCGGACGATACTCCTGCCCCGGTCATCCGACAAGCATTGTGAGACCGAGGTCCCCCCGATGCGTCCCAGGAGTGCGGGTGTGGTCACGGCCCCCGTTTCCTACTGACACATGAGCCCTCCCCCCTTGGGAAATTTTTGAATAAATGTGATAATTGACTCTAACACTTTTACCATGTTTTGTGAAAATATTTGTCTGTTAGGTACTTTGGAAGACTTTTTGTTATCTAAGTGTAAGATGATATTTTGTGGACGGTCGCCTTGTCTATATCCTCGTCCGTTCTGCCAAAAGAACTACCTCACTACGCACTGCCTTTATAATGTTTGTTTGTTTTTAATCTCTCGTTTGTGGTAGATTCGCTAGAATAGAATTATATTATAAATAAATTGAAAATTAATGCAAGCAAGCACGCTTTTCATTCGTGCATTAACATTTAACATGTGCTGTGGTTTGTACGCCTTGTGCATTAAATTTGTTCAATATTATAAAGAAAAAAAAAATATTGTAATTTTTTAATTTTACGAGTGGCTTAAATACATATTATTGAAATACAATTATCTTTATTATAAACATTGTTTTTTTTTTACTCTTTTAAATTAAATTGAAACAAACATTTACAATTATCCTTAGGACAGCAGTTTGAGACGTCAATTTATGAAAGAAATAAAGAAAACATTTAAAAAAATACAATTAAAATTTAAAACAACATTTAAAAAAGAAACAAAACAAAAAGGCATATGAAATAAAATTGTCCGTTGGATTCAGATCTCAGCGAACTTCCATACCGAGCATGATGTTGTTCTGTAGCGCCAGTGTTGTTTGTGCCCTAAAGAGAGGAAAGGGGAAGGAATTGGAAGCGCAAACCTGGGTTTTCTTGGCATTGAACTCAACCAAGTTCCTCGTACCCCATTTGGAATCTGATTGAGTTCAGAGACATGAATTGACATGATTCTCCCGCTTCTCCTTTGTTTCTACCAGTCCAGCCGCTGCGTGTATAAAGTATCTCGCATGCGCTGTACTATCGTCTGCATAGCAATGAATATTCCCAAGAGGAGTCAAACCTTTGACATACGGCAGAAAGAGTATGGGGGATAGAACGGATACCCAGGCGCAGAGCTGAGCAGGCTAACCGTATGCAGGAAGCTTGGAGAGAAGGCTTTTGTGCCGGACCCTGTCAAAAGCTTTGGCGATGTCAAGGCTTATAGCCAGAGATTCTCCCGGCCTGTCTATAGCTTCATCCCATATGTGCGTCACGTACGCTAGAAGGTCACCCGTCGATCGCTTCGGCCTAAATCTGTATTGACGATCGTGAATCAGAGAATAATCTTCTAAATAGCGGGTCAGATGGTTGCTAAGGACCCTTTTTAAGACTTTACACAACAGTGGGGTGACAGCTATCAGCCGATAGTTGGCCGGGTCTGAGCGGTCACCTTTTTTGGACACCGGCTGCACACTGGCTTCCGTGAAACAGCATCAGCACAATCGCTATTGAACCAGCGGTTACGTGTGCCCTTACTGATGAGATCAGATTTTTTTTCGAATGTAATACTGAAAACTATAACCTGATACTACTGCGGATGAGTCGTAAGCAGAAGGTCTAGTAAAGAAGGCGCTTGACTTGCTATGTTTGGGATCCTGGTGGGCTGATCGACCAGTTGTAACATGATGGGGTGGGGAGTATCCATTTGCCTACCTAATATTATAAATTAAATCCAATGAAATAAAACAGCAGTAAAGTTTCAACGATTTCATCTTTATTTGTATACTTACATTTATTATTTACAAGTGAGGCAGTAACAGTGTCAACGAACCAAACTTACTCAGCACAGAACCACTGCTCGTCAAACAATAATCGTCGTAATTATATTAAAATCAACATGCACCGGGAGTCTGCGCTCTCCTCAACAACAGTAACATAATATCACAGTAAAATACTAGCTAAAGCAGAAACGCAATTGCTCATAAACGGTTAATCTTAAGCGGCGATAGGTCAAAGGCAATCATATGCATTGCTGGGGTACTGCTGCTGTTCAGGTAACAGAAATGCTGCAATGCTATTTTTTGTAAAGGACACATATCTATATCATATATCACACTAAAAGAAGAATCTGTTATTTTCAGTCCTAATAAGAAACATTTGATTGATTAAAAAAATTCGTAGTTGTTTTACTTTTTATTGAAACTGGGTTTTGAATTGTTTCTAAAATGTGTCCGAAAAACAAGAATTCCCAGCGCTTTAAGATCAGGCTTTACACATGTAAAGTATAGGCAGTAATAAATCACTAACTTAAAATAGTATGTTAATTTTAGTCAATTTGAAAAATATACCTATAAATATAATTGGTGCCTCTATTGCCTGCTGTTAGCTAATATATTTACTGTTTGACAATACCTTATGATTATAAATATAACTAAGAGATCACAAAACATGAATAATCGAATAATATAATAATTTGTCCGGCAATTTTAGTGATGTAACGAATACCTATTAAATTTTTGTAAAAGAAGATAAAAATATTAACTTATGATTTAAAACTTTCTCTTTTAAACGCCTCTATTAATTTTTATAAAGATATTTCTTTATTTCGAAAACTTATACAAAAATAAATATTAATTTATATACATAGTAACGCATTTCGTCGAATCACTAAAATTGCATGAAATAAAACCCAATTTACAGAGATCAAAACGCAGAACACAACCGGTGTGCCAGACGGAGGCGCGTCATACCCGACGCTGAACAATCAATATAACTCCAAAACTATCCGATATAAAACGAACAATAACTCTATCGACGTTAGCCACTGCCTTGTGTCTACGTCTTATATAATTTCATTTTCGGCGCCGGGAGTCGAAGCCGCCGTCTGGCCGACGGACGCATTAAAAATATACTCTATATAATCTGAATTAATTTACTTATAAACGTCAACCGGCACATACTCAATAATCAGTTCGAATAAAACTCCGCTGTCGACGACACTGGAGGATAAGGTCGGAACTTAATTACATAGACGTTTATGAAGCGGGAGCCGCGCGCCGCTCCGTACGACCTGATGGTATATTTACAACAGCACTCTCTAACGATCACAGAAGCCTTCGAATTGAGAAATTGTAAAAAATATTAATTAATCTTTATACAAAGCAAATTTCTGCTTCTTCATATGCCGGATAAATGAAAAGTGAGTCAGAAAACAGTATTCATATTCACTTGCGTTAAACGCTTTAAATTCAGCCGCAGCTTATCGCCGTAACATTTCACGAACTTCGAATAACTTTTAAGTCACCGACGCCCTCCAGCACAGGGCGAGGAGCGGCGCGCGTCACACCGTTCTTCGTTAATTATTTATATATTATAAACGTATAATCCGTATGGTACACAATTCCACTCGACGTTTGTACTGTCAATTTAAGCGAGAGGAAGCCGAGCGGGGCCGGCCGGGTGTGAGCGAAGGGGATTCAGTTCAACCGTAATATGTACAACTGTACAAGGAGGGCGGCCGCCGCCTACGTCGTCGCCTATGTACATAGTTTGTTTCCCGTAATGTTATATAAAGTTTAGTACCGAGAGTCGCACAGTGTATATCACAGGGCGCTGCACGAGCGCTATTGGAGCGTCGCCGCCGCGCCGCCTGCCGCAAGCCGCGCGCTGCAACCAAACCACACAACAAGTTAAAATTCAAACTCAATATTCCTTATTCAGATTGGAAGCATAATACAACTCTTTTGAATCGTCCATAGTTTTTTCCGTACCACCAGATAAGGACATTTTTTAGCTTTAGAGAAAAACTAGTGAAAAAACTTCACAGCGCTAAATAATTATGTAACAACATTTACAAAATATTATATTGATACGATGTCAATACAAAATCATATCAAAATAAATCAAAATCAATATTCATTTATTCAGTTTAGGCTTTTACAATAAGCACATATGAAAGTTGAAAGCTACGGCATCGGTTCGCAAGTCTACGGCGGGAGACCTTGTACTGAGAAGAACAGACAAGTAACACAGCAAGGGCTGCTTTTGTCGTCAAATTGAAAGCTGACATCAGACTCATAAACATGTATTGAAGTACATAATGTAAAAAAAGGGAACAATAAATATACAAAAGCCCCGAAATATCCAGTAAACAATTTTCAAAATACATGTGCAAGTTTAAAAAGACACTAAGTGCAAGGTATACTTCTATGCTCCACTTGAGGAGCCAGGATTAATATAATGTTGAAAAATTTTTTAAGGTAAAATTACGACTAGGTGGTTTTATCTTTCAAATATTGTTGAACAGTATAATATTCTTTCAAGCAATTTTTAATGTTTTTTTAATTCATTTAAAGGCCAATCAAGAATATCACTGGGAATCTTAGTATAGACATGTATACCTAAGTAAAAACAAGTTCATGGATCACGTATGGGTATAAGTGATCCATGAACTTGTTTTTATTCCTAGTATTAAAAGTATGTATACGTCACTGTGTTTGAGATACAACTTAATATTGTTTCGAACAAAAAGTATACAATTGTAGATAAATGGCGAAGCAACGGTCAAAATCACGATTTCTTTAAATTTTTCTTTGAGAGTTTTTCTTGAGCTTAGTTTATAAATAAGAGCAGCACGTTTTTGCAAAATAAATATCGTATCGATATCTGCTGCTGTTTTCCAGAGAATAATGCCATACGATACAATACTGTGAAAGTAACTAAAGTATACAGTCCTAGCAGTATGTACATCAGAAAGTTGCCTCATCTTTCGTACGGCATAAGCCGCTGAACTAAGTTTACCAGCTAAAAGTGAAATATGAGGATTCCACTGCAAATTTGAGTCAATAGTTATACCTAAGCATAACGTTGATTTGTAATGACTGGCGAAAATTGATCACCATCAACTTTACTTCCATAATAAGTCCATTAACAGCGTGCGTAACACTATACAAACGTCAAAGTGGATAGCTTTGTAATATTTTGTAAATCACCTGTACATATAATCGATCATCTCATGTATATAATTCTGTAAACAAGATTCTGAAATTTAAACTAAATTGTACACAAAGACAAATTTCGAAAACAAGTAACTTCTGACCGACTGTCTGTCGATTCTTAATTACGAGGAAACTGAACATATGGTAATTTAAGCAATCATTGTAACTTTACCATGTTAAGTAGGACTTGTAACAGTTTACATGTTCTAATCAATTGTAATCATTAACATGTACGAATTGGTATTGGCATAAGTAATGTTTATTTATATTTAACTGTGGACTGACTGGATTCTATGTAACCACATCAAGCTATGAGAGAAGGGCTTTCCCTTGCACAAGTGTTCTCACATTTAAAAGGAGAATCCTCTATTACTATAATAATTGTACGCTTACACCGTAAGCTTTATGTTGTTAATAATAATAAATATTTTTGAAGTTATACTTCTTTAGGCGCGTTATGAAAAAATGATGAGAGTGAAATTTTAAGATGCGCGCGCATCACTGTAACACAAAATTTTAACAGCATGAAGTTGGCGACCAACTTCATGCGTTACTTTTGTGTTTACCGCACATTAAGAAAATCTACCAACAAAATAGAAATAGAATCTCTATTTAGTGGGTGCTAACGACTGCATTGTGAAGGCCTATCAAAAGTATTTATTAATCTGGAACAACGGAACCAAAGCGCGATTCAGGAGACTACAGCGCCATCTCTTGACCATTGGTGTAGTAGAACCAAAAACCACATCTTTATTTTTTGTAATAAAGTAACAGTTATAGGTATTCATATTTATAATATTTATCCACATGTTTCTAGTTTGTATATTCGGAATACGTGTTTGAGTTTCATACAAGTGCAAATCACATATGTTCTAATAAATTATATTCAGTAGCGATTTTAATTGAATATTTTGATTATTTATTTATTTTTTTAAATTAAAACTGAACTTTATTGACTGTGTCCTTTTCCAGACTTTTTATTAATTTATTGTAATTAATTATTTGCATGCAATTAAAAACTAATTTTAAACGATGCCAAAGAAAGACAACTTCTCACGCGCCTACATAAGTACACGCACCCATTTTTTTCTTTTTTTTCTCAATTACAAACAAAAGCGATTTCATTTCAAATGCAATTTGACAACACGCCACTAAAAGTTTTTGGTTGGGTATTTCAGTCTTTGCAAATCTTTACATTAATGTATTGTACGTTAATAAGTCCATGGTGCGCTTAAACGTCAACGCTAGAGCGAACGGCAATGACAGGAGCTGAATGTAAACGGGGTATAATTTTTCAACGGGCATAGGTAGTGGCAAACATAAAATTAAAATTAAGAATTTTTTTAATTTGAACTTAAGGAATTTGATATCATCATTCGCATGCCAGTCGCGAGACGCCTCCTGCCGAACACAGGCCTCTCCTAAGGATCTCTACGCCCATCGGTCCTGCGTCACTCGCATTTAGATGCCGGCATCGCATCGATTTCAACTGAATGTCGATATCTTGTATCACAGGATACGATGCAATATGAATTTCTACATATGCGTGTTTTGTGTGGGTGTGTCTCTTCGATTCCTTGAATCAGGACTTGGAAATGTAATCGAAAACCATTTATTTACTTTTCGGTATGTTATCTGAAAAGATTGAATGCTGGCACAATTATTACATAAAAAAAAATCATTCAGAGTATAAGTTTTGAACGCAGGCAGGATGCCAGGTTTGGATGCGCGCATCTAATACGACCGGATGCCGTATTCGTTCGGATGCGCGCATCTGAACCTGGCATCGTTATTCTAAAAACGCCCATCGCTATTCGCATTCACCGGCTTCCCGCGACCTTCTCCGCATCGTCAGTGTTCGGGGGCGGGTCTTCCCTTTGAGCGTCGTCATGCAGAAACCATTCCGCCGCAAGGTGTTCGTCAGTCGCATCAGTAAGGTGTCGGTGTACTCACTCGGCCTCCTCGCGCCCACCACCTGACAGACGCCTCCCACACAGGCGGGCGGCGCGCGCCCCCGCCCGTTGGTCTTTGTACATCGTGCCTCTCGGCGCGCGGCCCCAGCGCGATAGCAGAGCGGGCGCACGCACCGGGTGGCGGCGCGCGCGCCCCGCTGCCGTTGGTGTCGGTGGTGTGTACTCACTCGTGCCTCCCTCGGGGCGCGCGGGGCGCACCCAGCGCGATGAGCAGGAGCGCGGCGAGCAGCAGCAGGCGGGCGGGTGGCGGCGCGCGCGCCCCGCTGCCGTTGCCGTGCTGCATCGCCGCCGGCTGTTCGCCTACACAACGACATAAATCAATAATTTCCACGCTTCCACCGATTAGCCTACCCCAGTGTTACTTAACCTTTCCGATCCTGCTACCCCTGTAACCTATTAAGGAAACAGATTTCACCCCAACTTTAAATGTTACCATCAGTCCAAGAAATTCCTATTTGGCCGCTGCATCTTCGTCTCTAATAATGTCATCATCGGGATAGAATCTCGCCCCGCTTCCCACGCTCAGCACCCCGCGGGCTCACTAGCAAGAAGGAGCGCATGCTCTATTTAGTAGTATTATTTAGATTTGACCATATAATTAGTTTCTTTGTTACCCCCGAAGTATGGCTGATTTACCCCCGGAGGGGTAATTACCCCCAGGTTTGGAGCCCAAGGCCTACCCCAAAATGAGCACTGAAAAGCTTGTGTTCCAGGATGCTGGGGTAACAGGAATATACGTATCCAACGTATATTGCCGTCTTCAAACTAAAGTGCGGCTATGTGACAAGTGGTCGATTTCTCAATCGTAAATTGAATCAAATACGGTTTTTAATATATCGACCTGTTTTTAACAAATTTTCGTATCTTTTATAGTCTGAGTCTAAAAATCCGTCATACGATAAATGATTACAAAAAAGCAATAATTTAAACTTTACGAGCCGTTTTTTGACCATATTTAAAAAGTTGGTTTTGTCATTTAGCCGCGTTTTAGCTAGAAGACGGCAGTATACTGATACATATATAAGTATATTTTAATCAGAAACATATAAACACCCACGACTAAGGTACGAAAATATGCTCTCATTTATCATACTAACATTTACCCCCATCGAGACTCGAACCCGGGACCTCACGTGTAGGCGACACAATAAAACCCGGCGTATATATACCACTCCATGACGGAGGTGGTAATGTGGTGTGGTCAAATAAAACCTCTAGGTACGGCATGAACTGTCATACTATGCGAGTTATTCTACTTACATGTCATAACATGTCACCACACTCATTGAACAAATATATAATTTTGTGCTGAAAGGCAAATTTATAATCAGAAAGACGAAAGAGCTATCTACGCGACCGGATTTCACCACCATTCAATCCATATATCTATCTAATTATCATTATTAGCTTACTTGGGATACCTCGCGACTCATGAACGCACTCCAAATTATTTAGTTTTCTTGACCTTCACAAAATCATTTATTCAGTCTAGGCTATTACAAGTGCTAGTAATAGCCTACACTGAATAAATGAGTTTTGTGTTTGAGTTTGTAAGGTTACAATGACGAGGGAGAGGTTTGGCAGGCAAAACTGTTGTACCAGTTAATACAGCTACACTGCTGGGACACCACCCAACTTGATGTAGAACTGATGATCTGTTGTTCTCACCTCTCTTAGGATTCTGGACTAGTCATACTACGCAGCCGCATATTTAGTCCTAAATTCAAAAGATGAAGCAAACGGCCACGCGAGCTGCTTTGAAAAATTTTCAAGCGATACTGGTCTTTTAAGTACCTTGATAAAGTTCAAAATTCTTTCACACTCAAAGTGCTCGCCGTGCCTTTCCTGTATAAATAGGACCTTATTCTTTTTTCAATTTTGCTAGATCTCGAGACACACCGGAGCTGTTCCATACCTCTTTTGAATAACCTTCTTTCAAACTTGATAGTCAGTTCTACGCTGTTCACCATATTCAGCCTATTAATGCCCCCACTGCTGAGGCCTTTCTTATGGATGGAATAGGGAGATTGCACCCTCCACGCGGGCCCAATGTGGATTGGTGAGTGTTAATGACTGCAGTTGCAGCCGGGACCAACGGCTCAACGTGCACGAACTCGAAGCACAGAGGAGCTCTAAATAGTTAATACTTGATCGGACACCGATTGACCAACCACTGCGAAAGTTGCTCAACTGCAGCGATCGCTGCCGAGCGCGCTAACCACTTGCACCATCGAGCTCATGAAACGCTATGAACATATTGTTATTGATATAAATATTTTTACCGCTGAGCACGTGTAGCACGACGGAGGCGGAGTCGAGGTTGGAGGGCGAGCACGAGTAGTTGCCGGAGTCCTCGCGCCGCGGACTGTAGATTATCAGGTTGCCCACCTGAAACACAAACGATAACACGCATAAAACTGACGAATGTGAATTGTCACAATGGTGAATCAATTTTATTATGCTGCCATCCAATGCTGGAAATGAATCACAAACAATGCTGATAGAGTAACGATCTGTCTTGAAATAGTAGTAAATCGATTAACTTGGGAATAGCTCACGACAACTATGAATTCCAACCTTAAAAAAAATAATTATAGAAACTAAATAAGATATATAATACTTAAACAATTATGACTGGGAAGAATATACCTATATTTATGCTCATTACAAAAATAAATTACGCTACCGGGATTCGGACTCAGTAACATTGAGAGAACTAGAAACCTAAGTTTGACTAAGACTAAAAGTAAAGGCAAGAGCGGCCATTGCATCAATCGTTAGTCAAATCAAGATAAGTAGAAGGTTAGGAAATCCTGCCGAACCTATTTATTGGCTTTTGAGCTGTATTACGACACCTCCGAAGAAATCTGTGTTTGAAAATCATCGCACGACGAGAACGCATCGTGTCATAATACGATCGTTGCCAATTAGGCCGATGCCTTAAAGTAGTTAACACGTTATTATCAATGTTTACCCTTAGATTAAAACAAAAAGGGTAGATACGGCACTCGCTTCACAAAAGTGATCCGCATAAATTGTGGTCCACGACCCTAATCGCTTTAGTCACAACTTGACATGCAAACGACGTACATGTGAACGCCAAAAAGAAATATTGATAATATTTTGTGTTTATATGATAAAACAATCCCTAAGTATGTTTTTAAAAAGATTCAAGCTCAAATTGCTCAAGAACTAAAAATAGAACCCATGGCATCAGTTTTCATCCGTAAGTACTTTAAAATATATATTTTCATAAAAACTGCTGTTTATTTTGAATCTTATTCGGTAGTGACGTTGAGTACTGGTCGCGTGATTGGTCGGTAGTGCAGTGTTCGCGCTGCCGTGGGATCAGTTTTTGTTTAAAGCAAGTATGAGCGTACCGTATCTACCCTTTTTGTTTTAATCTAAGTGTTTACCGTGGTGTCAGGCGCGACGCGCTCCATACGTATCTCGACGAGGCTCTTGTCGTAGTTGAGCACGCGCTCGTCGTTGTGGTACCAGAAGATGTAGGCGGGCTCCTCCAGCGCCTGCGTGATCACGCACTTGAGGCTCACCGTCGTGCCCGCCTTCACGTACATGTCCGACTCGCCCACTATCTCGATCTTTGGCACTGCAACCACCGGATTAATTGTATGCGTCAATATTTGCAACTGTTGCATAAATCAATTTAACATTTACCAGATGTGGGAGGAGAAAAAGATTTGGTAGCACATTTCTGCGTCTGACTTTGATTGACTAATCGATAAATTGAGTCATCAAGAATCTCTATTTCTTTATGTACTCTTCATTGCGACTGATGAAAATAACAGAACTTTAGAATCATCTGTCAGATACCGGTGTAGGATAATTTAGTTTATCGTTTTCTGTATAATTTAAACATACTGAAGGTAGGCTGCCTATACATGTAGGACTAGTGTATCTTCAGGTGGAAGGAGCAACCGATTCGAGCAGAAACTTCGCTAATACCTATATTTTCTGAGAACTTAAGTGGCATAATTTAGTGTATCTTCAGACGGAAGAGACATGCAATTCTAGCAGACACTATGCAAATACCCAGAACTCTGTTTCTTCTCTATCTTTTCTAAGAACTTAAGTGAAATTATAGCAGTTCTCACCGACTACGTTGAGCTGCACGAAGTGGCTCATCTTGGGCTCGGTGCCGACCTGGCACTCGTATACGCCGGCGTCACGAGCCTGCACATATTTCACCTGCAACCGATGACAATCTTAAGTAAAGTAAGGCCAGCTCTTATATTCATCTAGTCTATCTTCTGCATTGGACTTTGATCGAAAAGAACGTGAAGAATAGATTTCGAACTCACTTATTAACCCTAATATTACGGGAAAGAATCGCTGTTTAGTAGGGAACCATTAAAAATGAGCCAAATATATTACTGTAAAGAGAATATCTCATTTTATTAAACCGGCATTACATGAGACGTTGATTTCGCTGCTGATCCCATGGGTGTCGCATCTTTGGTCCTTTGCAAACCTTACGAATGATCTTACTTGCACTTGCTTGCGGCCTAAGAAATACTAAAAGAAATTCGACACGGTCACACTTTAAGGTCGCGGTAGCTTAATTGGTCAGTGCATCCACCCGGATAGCGGAGGTTGAAGGTTTTAGGCCCGTCTGCTGCCTGGACCGCGTGGATTTTTATTAAGAAAAATGTTTTCTTAAGACTTACAAGTGAATTTTCAGTGCAATCGTGTAGACTTGCAGGTGATTTTCAGAGTATTTATGAAACCTTCAGATCAATGCTGATGTCAGTTGTTACCATAGCTCCAAGATGATATCTTATATCCAACTACATCCATTTACATAAGAGGTTCATTTCAATGTATTTTTATTTTTAAAGCATTTGACTGCAAGATGTTTAAATTGGTTGATTTTATTGCTGATTCCATGGGTGTACATAGCACTTTTATCCTTTGTAATCTTATAAGTAATTTTCAGTAAACTAAAAAAATACGTTAAACGGCAGCAGGAAGCTGGAGCCCGCCCCGCGTGCAGTTTTATGTTATATCATAGAATACCGCTGCTCTATGGAATAACATGTAAGAGACTCGCGGAGCGGACGCACGTTCCTTGCTCCCGCTTGACATAGCACAAGCTCTTAATTTACTCAAGTATCTATGAATGCTGACCTGCAGGGTCCAAGTGTCGGTGGCTTCCACCAGGAACGCCTGGAACCGCTCGTCGGCGATAAATGTGAACCGATCCACCGTGAGGATGTGCGCGTCGCGCCGTCTGATCCAGGACACTGACTTGTTACTGAGTTGTCGCACCTGGAACATATCGTCAGCGCAACTTGCTTATTTGTACCTCAAAGTAGCATAGTCGGGTCTTTCAAGGCATTAGTCTAACACTGTTGTACCATTCCAAAATCTAGTCTAGAAATTCCATAAAAGGTGTAAGACCCGTTTTAAAGATAGTGATTAGGATGTGAAAAATAATTTTAACGAGGTTGATCAAATAAGAAGAAGAAAAATAAATAGAGATCAGAATAGTGATTATACTGCATTGGAAGCAAAAGTAAACATTTTAAAAATGTTCTTACTTCTATTTTTTCTGAGCTATAAAAAGAAGGTTAGTTTTGAGAACCACCACAACCACGGCTTGCATACCGGAGGTCTGTGGTATTAACCTAAATATGGATATTTCAAAACTATATCAATCTGTCTTTGATCTTATATCATTTTTTTAAATATTGCGCATCTTAAAAATAAACGATTCTACCCCACCTGATGCTAAGTGGTGGTAAAGTCCAGACGCAAAGATAGTTGATGCAGCAGTTATGAACTGCCTCGCCAACCATCCTCACCTTAACGGCCGGTACAAATGCTTTTTTGAAAGGACCCCAGATTGTAGTAAGGAATAGTACGACACAGAAATGTATCACCATATTACTCTGACCTTTTTAATGTTAAAGGGGTGGCTAATAAGCTTAGTTCCGCCTGCAAGCATACCAAAACCATCATTCGCGCCGTTGCCTACCCTACTCTGACACCATCCCTAACTTCGTAGAGCCTAGGAACCTTACTCATCGACAGAAACACAATAGGGGTGATGACGGGGTAACGTAAACAAAATTCTATTTAGTCCGTCAGTTAGATGATCAAAAAATAATGGACACGTATTTTTTATTTGGGCAATCAACCAAAAAATGACAAAGTTATAGCGCGTCAAAGTTTGGGAGTAGGGTCTCGTGACGTCACTTTTGAGTAAATTTTCCCTTATAAGTGTAATCAAACGTGACGTCATGGGACTTTTCAAATCAATATATCTCTGCAATGTTTATATTATGTGAAAAAAGAAAAAATACGTGTCCAATATACTTTTTGATAATCTACCTGATAAACGAAGAAAAAAAAATAGTCATCATCGCTATTGATGACATCTTATGTAAGTTTGAAGTTACTTCCCTAGACGGGCACTCCAATTCGAGGTACAGATAGTGTTGTATGGAAGATGATGATGATGATTAGTATGGATGTATGTTCCGCCTGTTCACACACCACCGCACAAATGCGTCAATTCTTAAAGAAGTGGGAGTCACCGTTAGGCTGTCCAATTTCTGTTTGCGTAGGATCCTCGAATTCTTCGGTCACATAGCAAGGAAGAAAAACGATACCCCGGAAGTGCTCCTGGTGACAGGAAAAGTACAGGGAAGGCGACCGAGAGGAAGAAGCCCCATGCGCTGGACAGACCAGATCCGCGACAATACCAAAACTGGAGTCCGGGATGCACTCCACACTGCTGAAGACCGCAACAAGTGGAAAGCGATCGTCCACAAAATAATTCGTGGAGGTCACGATCCTCAGCAATGAGGAGCACGACACAAGGAGGATGTAGCGTTACCTTGCAGGGCAGGTAGGCGTGCGTCCCGAGCTGTGCGGTGATGTTGTTGGGCGCGGCGGGGTCGAAGTATGGCCCCGTGTACAGCCCCACGTAGCGCTTGGCCACGCGCGACCCGCCGCCCGCCTCACCGCACGACAACACTGCCGACAACACAATACTGTTAATCACCATCATCATGCTACTGTCGCACTGAAATTCCTCCTGCATGTAACAGGGAGATTGGGACAAAATTTTTAAAAAGTAAAAGAAAATAATACTGAAAAGTTTCACTAGAAAAAAAAATGGATGCGTGTAACTTATGTACGCGCGTGAGAAGTTATACTTCTTTAGCATCATTAAAAATATTTTTTAATTGCATGCAAATAATTAATAATTACAATAAAATAATAAAAGGACTGGAAAAGGATAGTTAACACAGTCAATTAAGTTCAGTTTTAATTTGAAAAATTAAATAAATATTCAATTAAAATCACTACTGAATTTAAGTTATTAGTCCATATGTAATTAGCACTTGTAAGTAACTAAAACATGTTGTGTCTATATAGAAACTAGAAACATGTGGATAAATATTATAAATATGAAAACAGTGATCAGAGGCGACGAGCGTGCCAACATTGTTTTTGACAACGCGATCATCTTATGGAGCTCCGTGGATCGTTCAAAGTACCTTTCGAACAGATGTCTAATAATGGTGGTTTAGACACTAACATTCATAACGCGCCCGCGGCCAACTTCATGGTGTTACTATTGTGTTACAGTGATGCGCGCGCATCTCGAAATTTCACTCTCATCATTTTTTCATAACGCGCCCGCGGCTGAACAGGACTCGAACCCGCACCCTTCTTATGCGTTACCTACAATGCGAAGAGATGGCGCTGCCTTGCAGCTTAAGGCTAGGAAAATTTCGACGCGGCAAGGGCCGTGGTAGCATAATGGTCAGTGCATTCGCCCGGATTGCGAAGGGTGCGGGTTCGAGTCCCGTCCGCTGCCTGGTCCGCGTGGATTTTTTTCTAATAAAACTTTTCTTTAGATTTAAACATCTAGCAGTTAAATGCTTAAAAATAAATAAAAACATAAATAATAATGATAAAAAAAAATTACTGAGCTCAGGATTGAACCATTTATCAGTTGGTGTCAACCCCAAGACCTTTACCGTTTGGCCATCTGTCTCTTATGGTAAATATCAAAATTACGGATACCTATCAAAATGTGTCAAAATACTCTATTTTTGTTTCATCGAATCTTAAATCACGACGGTGCTAAAGAAGTTTTCACTTCAAAAACTTTGTAATGCTTGCTGGGTGCTACTTGGCCATTATAGGGATGACGGCGGGGTCAAGTAAACGAAATCATATTTACTCCGTCAGTTAGATTATATCGAAAAATAATGGCCGCTTATTTTTTCTTCTAACAATCAACCTTAAAAATTTTAAAAAATAAATAAAAACCGACTTCAAAATCATCATGATTTGTCAACATGAACCAGATATTATTTTTTACTTTTTAGTTCCATTTTCGATTTTGAAATCGGTTTTATTTTTTGTCTAAATTTTTTTTATTTCATCCATTTTAGTGAAAATTACATCGTCCAAGTAAACAATAACGCAATTGACGGATATATCGGTGAACATACATTAAAAAAAACAGCATAATATAGAGCCTCCTCCTTGTTTGAAGTCTGTTAAAAATAACAAAAATAAAGCTCGTCAAAGATTGGGAATAGGAGCTTATGGCATCACTTGTAAGTAAAAATCATACCAAGACGTGACGTCATGCGACATTTCAAATCAATATATCTCTGTAATTGTTTATTAGGTGTTTTTATGCTGAGGTGGGGCCTAGTTGACGATAGACCTTTTATGTTTTATGTGTATTTATTGTAATTGTTAATGTATGTCGTCAATAAATGTTTTTCTTTCTTTTCACGCACATCGCTCATTAAATAAAACAACGTCAATTAATAAATAAAATCAGTGCATCTATCCCGTTGAACTTGTTTTATTTAATAATCTCTGTAATGTTGACGAAGGAAAAAGGTTAGTACCTTTACCTATTGCCTGCACCAATATTCTCCCAGCAAACGTTCTTGGGTACAATACTGCGACATTTTAGAATTATTTAGTTTATTATCAAGACGTTATTAAAACTATCATTGTAGAATTATAATATAATTATAATAATAGAATAGCCAGCGAAAGGTCGATGATGGTAACAAGAATATTTTTAGCACAACTTTCGATTTTTAAGCGCGCCGAAATTTCAGTATATTTTGAAAGTAATCAAGCTTTAGAACGGCTGCATTACGAGAGAGTATTAGTTATTTATATCCTTTCATTGCAAGAGTGCTGAATTAACATCAGGTGACTTAAATGATGAAAGAGGGTTGAAAGGTTGTAGTCTTCTTCCGGCAGTTCCGCGGGCGATTACTTGACACCACTCCGCGTCACACGTCTCCGATTTAACTCGCTAATTACGTTTTTATTAACATACGTAAGCCTGCGTTTATTACCAAAATAACAATGTTAAATTTTGTTATAATAATAAATCTGTAGAGAGGTCAATTCTGTACATGAAATATATTTTCAAAATAACTATCACGGGGTGATTGGTGATCGATACTGATGCCAAAAATGCAATCAGTAAAATTTTTGTCTGTCTGTCTGTCTGTGTGTATGTTCCTTATAGAAACAAAAACTACTCGATGGATTTTAACCAAACTTGGTACAATTATTTTTCATACTCCTGGGCAGGTTATAGTATACTTTTCATCACGCTACAATCAATATCAGCAGAGTAGTGAAGGGAAATGTTGGGAAAACGGGAGAAGTTACTCCATTTTTTAAGCTTCCATCACGTGCGCAGCCTTAATGGTTAAAGTTACATAGAAATCATGTATGACAAAAATATTCTACATAAAATTGTCTAAAAAATATCCCGCAACAGCATATGTCTATCTTTTATGGTTGACTCACAATAACACGTGTAATTATATAAATAAAGTCATTGTTTATAGCACAAGCCTGAGAACAAAAACTATAGTTTACACTACAGCTCTACACCGAAGCGAAGCGAGGGCGGGCCACTATATATAAACTTAGTAGTAATCTAATAAGTAGTCTACTACTTGTTAGACTACGGTAACTTATAACTAAATGGTAACTTTTATCCGTAAATGTTTATTGCTATTATTTTGAACTTAATTAGTATTTATATACGGACGTAAGACGTAAAGTAATTACTAGTCGCGTTTTAGTCACAAGTTACTATGCTCTACCAGATGTTAAGCCTAAGTAGTAATTGCTATAGCAATTACTAACATTCGAGTTCATAACTATAGGTAACAGACGCCGATACATGCTGAAATATACAACACACTGTAATTATTTGTCTGATATATCTAAGTTGCCATTTACCGCTAGCATTGGAATGGCACTGACAATTAGATATACTTTAGACAAAAGTAGCAAGTATGTATTATTTCTTATTTTTTAGTAGTTTTGTTTTTATGAACTCGGTTATTAGTTAAATTTATTTTTTAAGCATTCAACTGCTAGATGTTTAAATCTAAAGAAAATTTTACTAGAAAAAATTCCAATCGGACCAGGCGGCAAATGGGACTCGAACTCGCACCCTCCGCTATCCGGACGGATCCACTGACCATTATGCTACGGCGGCCCTAACAGTCCGTGTAGAATTTTCGCTAGAATTTCTTAGGCTGCAAGGCAGCGCCATCTCTTCGCATTGTAGGTAACCCACAATGACAAATACCTTTTACAAGTATTAAACATTTGAAAGAAGAAATAGCAATTATAGTTATATTTTTACTTTTGGTGCATTTAACTGCTAGATGTTTAAATCTAAAGAATCTTGTGGATTACCTATAATGCGAAGAGATGGCGCTGCTTTGCAGCCTTAGAAATGCTAGAGAAAAATCAACACGGAAAATTAGGGCCGCGGCAGCACAATGGTCATTGCATTCGCTCGGAGAGCGGAGGTGCGGGTTCGAGTCCCGACTGCAGCTTGGTCCGCATTCGCGTGGTTTTT